TATATATCTATCGAACTCTAGGCCGCTAAATCTCATGAACCCATGCCATGTTCTGAACCCTAGATCCTCAAATCATTTGGGGGAAATTTGAATCTTATACGTCAGGAACCCAGGACAGGTCTGACACTTTCTTTGGGGGAGTCATCGCTGCATAGTCGCTCCACTCCAAGACCGGAGAGCAGGGACCGAGTCGCAACCATCGGGCCTGGTCTCTCAGTGCAGCTCGCGGATGGGGAGAACTTGCCGGAGCTAAGTTGCATCAGTGGCAGGAGGCATGGCGTGTGTGATTGGTGGCGGTCAGTGAAGAGTCGCCGGAGATTATGGCAAGCCGAGAAAAATTGTGGAGGCGGCGGCGAGATGCGTTGCGACTACAGGATGGTGCCGTGAATAATTTGGATAGGATGCGGCTACCAGCCGGTGTGCAGGTGGTGTATCTGAAGGGGACATTTTTGTCTTCCTAGGCTACGCCATCCACCTTTTCAGTCAGGAAATTATTTTTAATGGAGCCGATGTGTAGTAGACAAATCGATGCCTTTTGCCATGTCCCGAGCCTAATACGGCAAATTGAGTGTGCTTGGCACGAAACCACGTTTTAGTGGTGTCCACCAGACAAAATACTCTACAAGATTATTCGTCCACCCCCTGGCGGGCCCTGCTGGCTGGCCTACGTGTCGCCTCGCCCCGCGGCGTGTCAAGCTCGCCGGGCTCCGCGCGGGACACGCTCTTGGCGCGTAGCTGCGTCCCGGCGACGCGTGTCCGTTCTTCCAGAACTCGGCACGTCGCCCGCCATGCCTGGTGTTCTCGCCTTTTGTCAACTGGGAATGCCTCTGTTGTCAGCTGGGAATGATGGTGTCGTACAACACGTGAGGGCGCTGTTGTTCGAGTACTGTTTCTCACGGAAAGGAAGACGCTAATTCATGCGGTCCTTGCTTCGAGACCCACAGCAAATGATGCGTTTCGAGGCGTGTGTTTATCACTTGATTGGACTTCAGTATTACTTCCGCGTGCACGTTTCTGTAAACCTGATATGATGACGGAGCTGAATTGGTCCGTGAACTGTGTGATGCCTGTTTCCTCCACTTAAAAGGCTCTAGCCTCTACTAGGTGCTTTTCAGAAAAAGGGTCTTTAGCACTAGATAGATCATGTGAGAATGACACCGTGCCTAAAAACGCTCATGAACTCTCTCCGATAGATCATGGGAAAATGACGTCGTGCCTAAACACGGAACAACTCTCATGAATCCCATATCGACCCGAGCCTAAAATGATCATCCAAAACACAGTACTTCTAGTCCCCGTCCCGTCAACCTATTTCCTACTGTTGCCATCCTGCTTCTCGGTGACGTGTAAATCTGCCACACCGTAGGAGCACAATTACCCCCAGAACGGAAAACGTATCTTACCGGATCCAGCTATCTAATCGCACCAACCCTACGACCAGACCAGACACCACGTGGTACCCGTAAAGCGCGCACACACATTCCCTGCGAGCTCGGACGGGAGGTGGCCACCCCCGCCACCGCATCGGACCCACGCGTGAGGGCTCAGAACCCAACCCACCCTGTCCCTCACTCTCCACGTCTTCACCTGCACTGCACTGCACCACAGCGCCGCAGCCCCCCAGGGTGCACTGCGAACCAAACCGGGCCCCATGCGCGTGACGCGAACTGAGATGAGATGAGATGAGATGAGATGAGATGAGGATAAGATCAGAGCCGTGGAGCGGAACAGATTCCGGGGCGAAAGCCCATGTGTGGCAGCGCCGCAGTGGCCAGCCCGACCCAACCCGCCTTTAGGCCACCCTCTCGTGTCAGCGTGCGTCGCAGGCAGGACGACCCCATTCGTGCCATGTACTCGCCGCGACGCGACCGCACCGGCGAGGAGACACGAACCGCTGCAAAACGCGCGCGTTACCGACCGTGCGTTTCTTTTGGTTTCCGCACCGAATTGCGCACGTTACTCGCAAAGTAGCGTTGGTCAAACGACGGACGGACGACGTACCGCGTCTGAGTCCCGAACGCGAGAGGCACAGGGCGCGTTATCCCGCCGGGGCGCGGCGGCGCGACTCCGGGCCTCTTCTGTATATATTATATAAACGCGCACCGCACCAGCTGGCATTATGTATATTTAAAACAAAAATCTTTATTTTACAAAAAATCAGTTTTTAGCAATTTATAGCTATATATATATAGGTATTCAAATCTGAAATTTGAATCTAAGGTGTGTCAGTGATCATTTCACCTACATCTAGTTAAGGATTTCAGGTAGCTAAATAAGTACTGACATGGGGGTTTTTATTTCGTCGTCCATATGACGTGCTATTATATGAATGCTATTAATTTAAGTGGTAATATATAGATCAAATATCTCTAGCTCCTGGTAAGATGATGAGTGGTACGACAGTAGGATGTGAACGTACGGTACAAGAAGAGAGGTATACTGAAGTATATATATATATATCGCAGGCAGGGAAGCGGAACGAGACGCAAGCGACTGAAACGCAAGAGAGCAGCGTTTCTCTTTGGGTCGGGTGAGCTGCTAGCGAGAGCGAGACGGGGTGAGGCTTGCCGTTGCAGTTGCAGAGCGACATGAGCTACCGGCTCGGGGACGCGGCGGGCCGCGAGGAGGGGGACGAGGAGCTGTTCGAGACGGCGTCGTCCGTCTCCGGCGGCGAGTCCGACGACGACGATGACGAGGGGGACCAATTCCCCGGCGCGGCCGGGGCCGAGGGCTCGTGCGACCACCAGGACCGCCGCGCGTTCGTGCCGCAGCCGCTGCAGAGGATGAACTCGGACAGCATCTACGACATGACGTCCATGATGTCGCAGCTCCCAGCCAAGTAAGTGCGCGCTCCTACACCTCCCGCCTCCCGGGAACCTGGCCGGCGAAATCACACCAGGCTCTGATGAAGCTTTTCATCAACCCATGGTCGTTTTACAGTAGAGTAATTTGCTCACGAATCGAGGACTGGTTTTGCAGAAAAGGGCTGTCGCGGTACTACGAGGGCAAGTCGCAGTCGTTCGCGTGCATGTCGGAGGTGCGCTGCCTGGAGGACCTGCGCAAGAAGGACAACCCCTACAAGCAGAAGATCAAGTCGTGCAAGAGCTACGTCGCGCTGGGAGGGATGATGGCCAAGAAGCAGCCCGCCTCCAGCTCCTGCGCCAACCTCGACCTCGTCGCCGCCAACGGGTTCAGGACGCCGCCCATTCGGAACGGGTACCACCAGTAGAGGCAGCAGGGGCTGGCCGCTGGCGAGAGAGCGCTGCAACTGCAGGAACACGTTTTTGTTCCTCGAGGGTCGCTGGTGTCAACTGTTACTTGTTCTGCGATCGGTAGAGTACTAGAGGAACTTACCGTTGACCGTTCTGCTGCACTGTTGCTGCTCGGCAAAAGAAACTGTTCTTTGGGTACTGTATGTAAATACGAAGCACGGCAGTCCAGGGCTCCAGGCAGAAAATCATCGACCGTTTCCTTCTTTTGTGCATGTCAATCTTTCGATCTCCTTTTGGAGGTGACTCACCAGGACGAGGATAGCATGCATAGCCTTTAGGCTCTACTGCGCTCAAACAAGAAAAACTAAGGTGTGCTATCTTCTATTTTTTTTAGGAATCTCAGTGCGCCGGCGCTTATCCTCTGCAAACTGTAGCCAGAACAGTAAGGTGAGTGGCAGGAAAAAAGCTCCATCGTAGCAGAACAGTGGGAGTAAAAAAGAAGAAAAGAGGTTGTGTGAAGAGTGCGTAAACAATACACATACAGTGCACGTTTCAGAGAGAGAGAAGCCGGAGCCTGTGTAAAAGCTCTAGTTCTTCGGTTGACAGCCTAGAGGCTCCAAATATTCTGTTGACAGCCTAGAGGCGAAGAGGAGGCAAACATTCACACATACAGTACGATGTACTCCATCATCCCAAACACATTCAAAACTTTTGGATTCATACAGAGGATTCATAATTGGAATTGTATTTTTCTTGGACAGAATGGAGTTCCCTCCGTCCTAACTCCAAAAAAGAGAGTAAAAAGAGCTCTTTTAGTTTGGTACTAAGTCAGATTTTTCTCAAATTCGATTATATTTATAAAAAATAGTATCATTATTTATATCTCTAAATCAATTTACTATAAAATACTACATCCGTTCAAAATAGTAAGTTATTTTGACTTTTCTAGGTACATACCTACCTAAATATACATTATATACTTGGATATATTTGGATACATATAGAAACATATAACTTGAAAAGCTAGAACAACTTACAATTTAATTTAGAACATGAGGAAGTAAAATGGAGACTATATTATGGTTAATTTAATAACACTTACTCCATATGCTGTATTATAAATGAGTATTATTTGTTTAAATTGAAAGTTGTTTAGTTTTTGAAAAAACAAGTGCACTTTTTTAATGGAGAGTACATCTTTTTATTACAAGGAAAAGATTGATATCAGATATGCACACAGAGCTCTCGCACTCTCTACAACAGTACACAGAACACTGGTCTCCCGATAGCCAAATCTCTCTCGCCACCCACAGGCCACAACAACATATCGTTCTGTCCCGAGGGAATTCCGCAGGCTGTGCAAACTCATGCCGGTAATTACACTCTGCCGATGTACAAAGAGTGAAAAACAGATGCGGAAACCATAGCAGATCCACCTAGCAGGCTCGAACCTCAGTCAAACGGCCAGATTGTGGCTCGCAGTTGCCGGTAAGCTTCAAGGACCCAAGGAAGCAGGAGAGTTTTCTCATGATGGGCTTGTGGCGAACCACTACTTGCACTTCGACAACGTCCTTCCCGTCGTCGGCGTAGGTCTCATAGCCCTCTAGATCTTCTTCGGTTATGAAGACTGCATCACTACACCCAGTGGGGCTTGTTGGTCTGGACAGCATACTTCGACAGCAAGGTAAAACAAAATGCTCGCTGTCAAACTCAGTGGTGACGTAGCCATCAACTTCAGGGTCTCCAAAGGATGATTCACTGGATTCTTCGTCAGATGTTAATGAGTCTTCATTTGAGCTCTGAATTGAAAGACATCTGCTGCCCGCGTGCTCGACAGTTCACTGGATTCCTCATAAGAAACTGCTGAGCAGGTTGGGTTCGAGCTCTGTATGGAATGGCATCTCCTGTTGAGCTCACTGAACATTTTAACAGCCTGCAGCAAGAAGTACCATATTTCAGCAACTGGATCACAAAATTGGAGACCAAGTGTCCGAGTAATAACTAGGATAGAATGGATGTGATCATCTAATAGAAAATTGCAAAGGAAGTCAGGTAGCGTGCCTTCCACTGAGCTGGTGCTAAAAGCACTCTGGGCCTCACAGACCTTGCATGATCCAAAGCTGCTTGAGGAGTCATATTTCTGTACTTGATCTGCATTAAATAAGTATGTTAAGTTTATATTAAAATGCACAGTTACAAGACAGCTAAACCAGAAGCAAAACATTTTTTTCTTACCAAAAAACACAAAACTATAGTGGTGCTGCGTCCCCTTCCGGCCTTACAGTGGACATAGGTGCTACCACCTTGCATTTCATTACCTAGAAAAAGAGCATATGTTAATTAGCCTTGCAACCTGACTTCCACACAAACCACATAGAAGCAGGACATATGAAACTGTTTTATTACATACTACTACTATATTGTTACTAACTAAAGTGATGGAGCATTGGTCTTCTGGTACAATGTTTTTAACTACCTGCTGATTATGGACCCCTACCATATCAAACGAGGCAACGGACAAAAACGAAACTGAAGGTTCGTTACTATTTCATACTGAACAAGCACTGTCTTTTAACATCTTGTTATTTGATCCAACCAAGTGCATTTGCTTCTAAGGATTATCACCAAATAACATCACTGGGATAGCATTAATTCAAATAGAAATGCACAGTACAAATATTATAAACTAATGCCAATGAAAACAGTGGTTAGCACAATTTATAAGCTATCTTTCCTGCCCCTTAACTGATTAAAGAACTACCACTTCTAATCACACCATACGGACATAATGACACTGTTTTACTACATACTACTACTATTATTATTACTAAAGCCGTGGAGCATTGGTCTTCTGGTACAATGTTTCTAACTGTCTATTGATTATGGACCCTACCATACCAAACAAAGCAACAACCAAAAAAGGAACTGACAGGTCCGTTACTATTTCCTACTAATATCTTGTTATTTGATCCAACCAAATGCATTTGCTTCTGAGGATTATCGCGAGATAACATCACTGGGATACCATAGTACAAATATTATAAACTAATACCAATGACAACAATGGTTAGCACAACTTATAAGCTATCTTTCCTGCCCCTTGACTAATTAAAGAACTACCACTTTTAATCACACCATACGGATTAGTTCACAGCATTGTCACATCTGATATGCATCATGATAACTGAAAAAAGCCTCCCTCTGTTCCAAATTATAGATCACTTTAGCTTTGTCCTAAATTCAAATTTCTCTAACTTCGACCAGGTTTACAGAAAAAATACATTAATGTATGCAGCACCAAATAAGTAAACTATCAAGAAATATTTCATGGTTGATTTAATGAAATGATGTTGGTGCACTTTCCTACAACTCCGAAGTGACCTATGATTTGGAAAGGAGGGAGTACAACTTTATAATAGCAGTCATAATTCAATTGAAGAATAAGCCTTTACATTCAAGCTGACAAAATGTCCAACAACAGCCAAAGATAATATCAAAGTAACACGGATGACGCATTGCATAAACCGTAGCTGACCACTACAGCTACTTGCCTGATCTGAACTGGTACCACTAAATTAGCATCCTAAAACTGAGATGACATCATCAAGACAAGTTGCTTGATGATGGATTGATGGAGCACAAATAAAATTCTAAAAACCCTAAGAAGCAAAAAGAAAATGAAAACATGGTTCAGAACATACTTACAATGGATAAAATCCACTGCCCGACAAATATGCTCTAGGGAGGGGGCAAACAGGTAGTCCCTTGTGGGAATTTCGAGATGATTGATTCCATGAGCCTGAAAATATGGAATTATATGATTATTCAGACATAAGTTGTAAAACCTGCCAGATATGGTATGGTGCCATAACAATATCTTGCTTCCTACCTCCCTATCTCATGTGCACCAGTGCCAGCCTAACCAAGTGATTTGCTGATTGCGCAATTCATAACGAGGCAATGGAATGATGTACATGATCAGAATGCATAGACCAGGATAAAAAGATTCTGCCTACTACAATGACTTAAAAAATAGGTGCCTCCTGAAGCTGGATCTACAGCTTCCCAACTTAAGTGTCATTAAGTTCACTATGTACATACCTGTTAGGTTAGAATATATCCTATAGTTCTCTTGGTCAAGTAATAACATTATAAGTTCAGAAAGAAGTAAAAGTTATTCCTGCAGCTACAAGAGGTAAAGGAACGTCTACCTGGTATAGGGATGTTGGAACCAGAGTCTCATAGGGTTCATTGAGTGTAACAACTCCTCTTACACCAAGTTGCTTCAGGCGCAGAACATCGCTAGAGAACGGAACAGCACCTAACAAAACATACTGAAGATAGAGGTGGTAAGAATATCAGGCTACAATATCTATTGCACATTAAGAAGGAATGGCTATCGTTATTCCATCACCAATTTAACTGATCAACTCTAGTGACTGACTAAATGATACTCCCTCCTTTCTAAATTGTAAGTCGCTTTGACTTTTTTAGTTCACTCATTTTGCTATGTATCTAGACATATTATTATAGTACCTAATGCATAGCAAAATGAATATACCAAAAAAGTCAAAGCTACTTATAATCTGGAACGGAGGGAGTACATTTACACCTCCATAACAATAAGATTGCACGTATATTTGATGAAATTTAATTGGGCAGAAACTGAATTGCCGACCCACACAACGCTAGCTGTCCCAAAAAACATATCCCCAAATCGCATCCCGAAACACAAATAACGAAACCAGGACATAAACATGGAGACAGGCAAAAGATCAGCACCTTGTCGACGCGATCCCACCAGCGGAACTCGCCATCGAACCGGTTGCGGAGCACGTTGTAGAGAAGCGTCGGATAGAACAGGACCCTCGCGCCGGCGCCGACGAGCGCGCGCTTCGCCCGCAGTCGCACAAACGCGACCACCTCCCCGTCGCCGCCGCCACCCCACGATCCCTCCTGCTCCCGCTCGTCGTCCTCCACCTCCAGCCCATCCCGGAGCTCCCGAATCCTCATGCCCGTCCGCCCGGATCGGAGCCCCAACCCGACCGGCAAACCCTAGGAGCCAACGCGCTTTGCGGCGTCCTCCCGCGCTCCTCGATTTCAGGGAGCGGGATGGAGAGATGGGAGGGATTTGTGGATCCAGAGATGATTAATCTACTGGCTTCGAGACGCCAGAATGGGAGGAAGGAATGGGGTGCGGCTGCGGCTCAGCGAACAACCCAGGTGGACGACGGCGACGGGAATAGGTCATAGGTGGCGTATTAGGCTGCGAGTTTTGCCACAAATCTGCTTTCCCATCTGTTTAGCGGATGAGTAATGGCTGAGTGTGCTTTTGCGTATTGGTCCTTGAATGGTTGCATAATTATCTTGGCTAAAGAATTTTGTAACTATCTATAGGTTCACACTTTGTGTGTGCACGTTGCAAACAAAACACCAAAGCACTCTTCCTTCTCTTTTTGAATTCTTATCACGGAAATGGAACGATGCTTGTTGTGGCGTATATTAAAATCGAGAGCACCACATGTAAAATTGGATTATGGCCATGCTATATTACAGTGAACTCCAAATGCTCACAAACGTGAAGTGCCAAGAAAATAGTAGATGTGGTTTTAGGCTGTGTTTGACTTGGCTTTTTTTGAAAGTGTTTCTTCTACCCAAAAAAAGAACATCAATCAAACGGATGAAATCAGTAACAGCTTTTTTTTTTTAGAAACATCAGCTTTCGCATCAATCAAAAAAGATTATATAGAGTTTAACACGGTTCTAGCCTCAAGATCCAAGTTGTACTTGGTTTTTATAGTATAAATTAAAGTGATTTAAATATGTATATATTTAAATAATCTGTAAACTATATTATTATTCATATAAATACTCTCATCGTGCTTCAAATCCTAGACTTTTTAAACTATAAATATCTAACTCTAAAACATCCAGCTAATACTATAGCAAACTGAGTCGAAGAAACAGAGGAGAGGAAGTTTGTATAGTCGTTTGGAACAGAGGGTCCATCTATATTACTTTCTTATAGGAAACATGAATTCACATGGAAAAATATAATTTAATCCTTTTTTTCTTTATAGATGCTCGAGGCACCAAGCATTAAAAAAGGAGGAAAACATGGCGGTAAGTAGAAGAGGAACCTAGATGCTCCTATTGTTACATCTTGTCTCCTCTCTCTAAACTAAAACCATTACAGTGCCATGACACGCCACACTCCCTGTACAACCATAAACTTATGGGAAAATTGGTGGTGTAGCATCGAAAGATCGCGATCTTCGTAAAATACCACCGAAAAGTTTACGCCCCATGAAATAGCACCGAAAGGATCCACCGTGAACTGAAAGTACCATTCCGTCAAAATTTGCATACAGAAACGTTAACCTAAGCTAAAACCTAGACATGAAATTACATTGTAGGGGACCGTGACGCCTAAGAGGAGGGGGTGAATTAGGCGATTTAAATTTCTACTTCTAAACAATGGCCTCTTTTTCTAACCTTAGCAAAACATATGCAAAAGATAAATTATCTAAATGTGCAACTACGATTTTGCTAATGTGTTGCTATCTCTACCGCAAAAGGAGTAATACAATCAATGTAAATGCGGAAGCTAAAGAGCAAGGTAGAGATATGCAAACTCTCGTTGACGACTCTGGTATTTTTACTGAGGTATCGAGAAGCACGCAAGCTTCTCCCTAGTCCTCGTTGGAACCCCTCGCAAGGAATCCCTCGCAAGGGCCAAGCTCCCGGTCGGGTAATTCCGTGGATACCTCGGGCCTTCCCCACGCGCAAGTGGGTCTCCGACGTGTCTTCCGGCAAGCCTCTCCTAGATGCTCCCCGTCGTCTTCACTATCAAGCTTCCAGCCGAAACGCCGCGGGCCTTGTTCCCTCTGGTACACGGTGGCGGCCACACCACAAACGCGGTTGGTGTGATCTCGCAAGATTACAAGCCCCTCCGATGTACAACAATGGTGCGCGCAAACACCGAGTGCTAAGAGGTATGCAAACCTCACTAAACACTAGGCCTAAACCTAGAGCAAGCGCATAAGCGGTGGTCTAATCAATCTAAGCACTTCGCAAAACACCTACGCTAATCACCTAATGAATCACTAAGCACTATGTAAGTGGAGATCACTAAAATGGTGTATCAACACCCTTGATATGTTTTCTCAGCTCCACACCTCTTAAATGGCCGGTTGGGGGTCTATTTATAAGCTCCACTGAAAAAGTAGCCGTTGGGGACGAAATCTCGTTTTCTGCTACTGACCGGACGCTGATCACGTCCTGACCAGACGCGTCCGGTCGTCCCGACCGTTAGAGCCGTGATCAACTGATCTGACGCTGCCAGCGTCCGGTCACATGCCACCAGACACGTCCGCTCACAATTTTGCCGCTCTAGAACCTCTTTGTACTCGACCGGACTCTACTGTCCTACGTCCGGTTGATCTATCGTCGGCGTCCGGTCCAGCGTCTGGTCACTGCTGCTGCCGAGCCTCTTGATCGGGACGTCCGGTCACTGTGCTACCAGCGTCCGGTCACTTCTGTGAGCTTGTTTCTTCGTGATCTTGCGTACGGTTTTGTTCCTATCTTTATGCTTGGACTTTGCTTGATATTTTGGGTCTTCTCTTGTGCTTCTAAGATCTTGCTTATGGTGTTGATCATCGGATCATCACGTCGCCTTCATCCAAGTCACGTCTTGCATCCTATTGAACTACAAAATAATCACTTACAAATTTATTAGTCTAATTTGGTTGTGTTGATCATCAAATACCAAAATCCAAAGTAAATGGGCCAAGGGTCCATTTTCCTTACATACATATTTGCCCTTACCTTATCCTATCTCACCCATCTGAGACAGGAAGGCACTCGAGCCGCTCGGTTCTCAGCTCGGCACGCTCGCTCACCCCTTCCACCACCGTCGCGGGTTCCAACACACGGGTTAGGGCATTGCCTCTGCTGTCCACCACGCGGGTCTGGGCACCGCCTCTGTCGACCACCGTGCTGCGTGTGCGGCGCCTCAGCTAGGCCGCCAAGCGCCCCTGCGCGGCGCCTCCGCCAGGCCACCAGACGCCCCTGCGCGTGAAGGGTCGAGATGGCGGACTAGAGGGGGGGTGAATAGTCTTTTCTAAAATTAATCGCGTCGGCTAACCGATATAAATGCGGAATTAAAACAATCGGTCTAGCCAAGACTACACCCCTCTATATATGTTCACTAGCACCTTGCAAAGATACTAATAAAGCAACTAAGGTGCCGGGCTAGCTAGAGCTCTCCTAAACAATTCTAGGAGCAAGGTCACACAAACCTATGCCACTAGTACTTTAAGTAACAAGGGAGCTCCTACACATGCTAGTAAGCAAAAGCACAAAGCTAACTAAGCTCACTAGCAATGCTCAATAACAAGGCAACCAACGCCTAATTAGAGAGCGCAAATACTTAGCTACACAAACTAAGCAATGTGACTAACAAGGTTACTAAAACCAAATTAGCCACGCAAGGGAGCTACTTCTATGCTACACAAGCAAGAAGGTAATTAGCTAGCTACACAAGCTATCTAATTACAAGAGCAACTACACAAGCTTAAGATATATATATAAGTAATTGCAAGCTTGTGTAATGGGGATGCAAACCAACGGGAAGAACAAGGTTGACACGATGATTTTTCTCCCGAGGTTCACGTGTTTGCCAACACGCTTAGTCCCCGTTGTGTCGACCGCTCACTTGGTGGTTCGGTGGTGATTAGCATCACCCGCTAAGCCCGCACGTCGGGCACCGCAAGAACCTACCCCTTGAGTGAGGGTAGCTCAATGACACGCTTTACTAAAGTTGCTCTTCGCGACTTCTCATGGGCGAGCACAATGCCCCTCACAAGCACTTCTCGAGCGCCGCACAAGCTTTCTTCTGGGCTTCGACGGAGACCACCACCAAGCCGCCTAGGAGGTGGCAACCTCCAAGAGTAACAAGCACCACCGGCAAGAACTCGATCACCTAGTGCCACTCGATGCAACCTCACGATGCAATCGCACTAGAATCGCTCACTCACACAATCGAATGATCACTATCAAGTATATGTGTGATGGAGGGCTCCCAAGCACTCACAAGCATGGACACTAAGTCCCTTGAGGTGCTCTACCCTCAGCCATGGCCGAGGGCCACTTCTATTTATAGCCCCAAGGGCTAAACTAGCCGTTACCCCTTCATCGGGCAACGGTCGGGCCGACCGGACGCTTCCGGTCGTGTTGACCGACGCTGGACCTCGGCCGTCCGGTCGCCCGCAGACGGCCACGTGTCCCGATTCCAATGGTCACTTGACTCGACCGGACGCAAAGAAGCTTAACCGACCGGACGCTGAATCCCCAGCCGTCTGGTCGCGCTTTCAGAGAGTAGTACCGACCTCGACCGGACGCGTCGGTCACACACTTGATCGGACGCAGCCGGCGTCCGGTCACACTCCGGCTTTCTGCGTCATCAGACGTGTACTGGACCGGACGCAGACTGCCGGCGTCCGGTGCATTCAGATTCAGTCGTCCGGTCGGGTTGACCGACGCCAAAGATCTTCGCGACTAACTTGTTTTCACTTCTAACTTCATCACCCTTGCTCCAATGTGCTAACCACAAGAACTTGCATCCGCAAGCGCAATAGAAAATAGGCATTCTATTTTCCCGAAAGCGTTGAATCCCCGCCTCGCAGCTTCGGCGGGAGGGAGAGAGGACCCAAACCCATCTCACCCTCGCAAACACCACCTCCTTTGTAAATGTGCCAACACCACCAAGTGTACACCACCATGTGTATGTGTGTTAGCATTTTCACAATCATTTCCCAAAGGATGTTAGCCACTCATCTTGCCACGCCACTCGATCCTAGCGACAATGCAAAGTTAGATCACTCGAGTGGCACTAGATGACCGATATGCAAACAAGTTTGCCCCTCTTGATAGTACGGCCATCTATCCTAAACCCGGTCATAAACTTCTCTACACACCTATGACCGGTGAAATGAAATACCCTAGGTTATACCTTTGCCTTGCGCATTCCATTCCATCTCCTCCAATGTCGATGCAACACATGCACCAACACTATCAACAATGATATGATCCACTTCATATCATCACGTGATCATATTGGTTCATCGATCTTGACTTCACTTGCCCTTCACCGTTGCCATCGTCCATCGGCGCCAAGTCTTGCTCAAGCTTCACCGCCACGCGGTCCATCACTCCAAAGCCTTCGACTTGCCCTTCACGCTTGCAACCGGTCCATCAAGCCAAGTCTTGTCTTGATCTTCTCCACCTTGATCACATGACTCAATGTCATGTCTCATGTGCAATAAGCTCCTTCATCATCACATGTGTGAGCTTTGCAACATCTCCAAGCCATTTTCACCTCCATGGCATATGTTGCTCATACACATGTACCTGTGGACTAATCACCTGTGTATCTACATAAACACAATTAGTCCACCTAGGTTGTCACTCAATTACCAAAACCAACAAGGACCTTTCAGCGCGGCGCCTCCTCTAGGTCGCCGACATCCCCTGCGCGGCGCGGTGCCTCCGCCAGGCCGCCGGCATCCCTGCTCACCACCTCCGCCGACCACCAGATGCCCCTCCACACTCGACTACGCAATGCATGAATCTGAGATTCCCGATGGGTAAGAACGAAACCTTAGCTATCTATTGCATCTCGTAGCACAACTGAAATTAGTTGCGGCATGCGATTGTTTATGATATCCGATTCATTTGTGTGTGCAATCTGGTATGAGGATGGTCAGTGATGAGAAAGGACTTTTGGAAGCAGTGCTAATTTGTTTGCACTACTACTATTTTCAGGATAGATCCGACCAATGCATGTAGAGTAGTGATTGATGTTTCGTCCTACTCAACTATTGAGAATGATCAATCCGTGTACAAAAAGGGCAGATGCTTGGATTGGTGGGTGGATGCAGAAGAGTACTCCATCATTGACATGGAGAAAGATGTTTTCAATCACTTCATTGGGCTAGCTATCAGGAAGCAAACTTCTGGTTTGTGGGTCAGAATAATGTAACAGTTCGCCTTGGTACTGACCAAGAGCTTCTAACTTTGCTACAAGCTTCAAAATTGGTGGAGTTTATCATGACTGTTGATAGATGTGAGCATGTTGATATGGCTTGTACTATGACTGAAATGGAGAATGAAAGACAAGTGCCAAATGAAGAGAATGACCTACAACTTCAGGTCACAAAAATGTTTGAGGGGATGCATGTGAGTGTAGAATTGGATGGTCTAGAATGGGCCTTGCAACCGCAACTTGGTGTTATAGCTATTGGTCCTTCTAGAGTAGAGGAGGAGGATGGTGACCATTATATGGAGCCTGGTGTTGACCATGAGGGAGATGATCCAGTTGGAGCTAATGAGGAGTGAAGGTATTTCAATAAGGTACATGAAGTAGGAAGTAATGAGAAAGTGCAGCAAGAAAAGAAGAAAATGGACAACAGCAAATTTGTAATTGAAGACATAGATCCTGAGACTGTGCCAAGTGATGAAGCCACCATGTTGTGGGATGCTCCGTATGTTCCACTCACTACATATGACAGAGACAACCATGATATAAAGAAAGGTTCAACATTTACTGATAAAAGGCCTTCATACTGATGATCAAGCAATATGCCATAAAAAAGGGAGTTTCAAACATTTTGTAGAGCATAGTGATAAATCAAGATATAGGATACGATGTGCAGATTCAGAGTGGATGGAAAGTTCATGCAAAGAAACTTCGTGGTTGCCCCACTTTCCTGGTATACTAATTTCATACTATACAATTGTTTTTTCATGTTCTGTCAATAATTTCAGACTATGCAATTATGTTTTTCATGTTCTATCAATAATTTCAGGCTATGCAATTGTTTTTTCCATGTTCTTTCAATAATTTCAGACTATGCAATTGTTTTTGTTCATGCTCTATCAATAATTCATATCCCATATTTAAACACTAAATTCAGATCTCATATTGTCTATTTTTTCAGGTTGTGTCAATAGGTTCTAGACATACTTGTGCTAGCACCAGCCAAGTGAGGGGTAAGGAGGCTAGCAAAGCGTGGATAGCGAACAGAGCAACAGAGGTACTCAAGTGTACTCCAGAGTTGAGAACAAAGAAGTTGCAAGTTGAGCTTAAAAGACAGTTCCCGATTAAAATGTCATATAATAAGGTGTGGGAAGGAAGGCAACTTGCACTAAAAGGCCTATATGGCACTTGGGATGAAAGTTTTAGAATGTTATGGAGTTTCAAAGCTGAGTTAGAAGCTAGATGTCCTGAAAACATAGTAGAGATTGATTGCAAGAAGAACAAAAAGGATGGTCGAGTCTATTTCTGTTGGATGTTTGTGGCCATCAAAGCATGTGTGAATGGATTTCTTGCTGGTTGCAGGCCATACCTTGGGGTTGATTCTACTCACCTCATAGGTAAATATAATAGACATCTAGCTGCAGCAACAACAATTGATGGACATATTTGGATGTACCCGGTGGCATATGGAATTTTTTACAAGGAGACAAAAGCTGATTGGACATGGTTTCTGAAGTAATTAAAGAGAGCAATTGGAACTCCACATGGACTCACAATACACACAGATGCTTACAAAGGCTTAGAGAAAGCAGTCCATAATGTCTTCTAAGGTAACGTTGAGCATAGGGAGTGTTTTAGACACCTCATGCATAATTTTAGAAAGCACTTCGATGGAGATGTGCTAAAGTACATGTGGCCTTATGCTTGGGCATGTAGTACTAGGAGGTATCAATGGCTTTGGGACAAAATTGGAGAAAATTGTCCAACAACAATTCCTTATTTGCAAGCAGAGCACAGTCATCTTTGGTCTCGAGCTAAGTTCTCAGGAGAGTGCAAGGTTGATTATGTGAACAACAACATATCAGAGTCCTTCAACAACTGGATTAAAGAGACCAAATGGTTCCCAGTGGATGTCCTCGTGGACATAATTAGGGGCATGATCATGGAAAAGATAGCTATGAGGTAGCTTATAGCTAACAAACTTGAAGGGTCAATTCTCCCTAGTGTTATAAATGAGCTGAAGGTGAAGAGTAGAAACTTGAAGTACACAATTAAGGGGAGTGGTGGTCTCAAGGCTGAGATATCTGGATTGATTAAAGACAACTATCCTTGAAGGCATGCTGTGGACCTTGGAAGCAAGACATGTTCATGTGGTCAGTGGAATATTTCTGGAAAACCTTGCACTCATGTTATAGCATTTATAGGTTCCCTTAGACAAATTAAATTTGAGGACTTTGTTCATGATTACTACTCAGTTCAGCGTTTCAAGGCTACTTATCAGTTTAGGGTCAACCCAATGGTTGATAAGTCACAGTGGCCTATTGTTGATCCCGGTTTGTAATGGTGCCTCCGAAGCTTGAAAGGTCTGCAGGTAGGCCAAGAGTGAAGAGGATCAAAAGTAACGGTGAGCCAGGAAAAAGGGGTCCTTACCAATGCAAAAGATGCTTCCAGTTTGGGCATATTGAGAAGGGTTGTAGTGAGCCGCCTACTGAATTCGCTGTTGAATTGCCACCGGCAGCTCCTACTAATTGAAGGTAAATTGACCCCCTGTACTTTTGCTGTAACATGACATTTTATTAAATATGGCTGATATCTTCTTGATGTGTAGGAAAAGGAAAGAAAATGACAGTACATCTAGCTGCAAAAAAGCTCCAAAAAAATCCAAAAAAGTATATGCACCTTCTACTTCCTTAGTCACACAACCACCTATTAGTCCAGGGCCAACAACAAGAAGGATGATAGCTTCCACTAGTCCTCTCAGTCCAGGACCTACAACAAGGAGCAGGGCAGCAGTAGACATATCCCCAGGAGGAATTGCAAGAAGGCTTATCGTAAGCTAAGTAGTGGCTTTGTTAGTGCAAATGCTATATGTTGTACTACTGTTATGATTTAGTTAGACTATGGATGCATGTGTCGAACTACTCGATGTGTTAGCAGACCTGTCCCCTTTGCTGTCTTAACTAGTACTCTGTTGAGAAATGGTTGTTGAGAAGTGCCTAATGTGAATGTACGTGTTCATGTGTATTTATATTAAAGGGATCCCTATATTAAATGTCTTCGTATGTGCCAAAATGTATGTGCGGGAATGTGCTTATATTGCTATTGAAATATATGTGTTTATTTATATTTAAATGTTAGGACACATACTGCTGTTTATTTGGTTCTCACTGGGGGTATCTGTGTCCAAGTTAACAGCTCCGTGACTTCATTTTAACGGAATGGTACTTTCAGTTCATAGTCCAACCTTTCAGTGGTATTTTACGGGGGCGTAAACTTTCAGTGGTATTTTATGGAGATCACGATCTTCCGATACTACACAACCAATTTTCCATAAACTTATTTATGCGTATATGGTCCACTTTTTCATTTGTAGTATAGAAGCTAAACCATTTCTTCTCTTTTGACTAGGTCAGAACGACATGTAGGAGTTTGGTATGCGTGGGGTTAATTTCTTTAGTTTTAGTCTTTAATAAGTTATATAAACATGTATAAGCTATAGTTAGCTTGTTGCAAAAAAGATACCGTACCTTATACTTTATTATAAGAAGTACAAGATCATGACAGCTTCCAACAATTTAAATAAAGGCGCTTATAAGGTCCTATAGCTTGATTACGCCATACGGCGGCCTGGAAAATGAGGCACGGAGAACCAGTACACTAGCCTCATGGAGGCGGCTGAAAATGCAAAATCGCGTAACGACCAGGCCAACAATGCATGAACATCTGATTTTCTTTTTCCTTTTGTAGCCCTGTTTAGTTTAAAAAAATTTCACCCCAAGTGTCACGTCGAATCTTACGGCATATGCATGGAGTACTAAATATAGACAAAAAAAAACTAATTACACAGTTGGGTGAGAAATCGCGAGACGAAACTTTCGAACCTAATTAGTCCACAATTAGACACTAATTACTAAATACAAACGAAAATACTACAATGGCCAAAACCAAAAATTTTCGCCAAACTAAACGCGCCCTAAGCGGACGTCACCTCGAGACGCAACCGGCCTAATCACCGAACGCGGGGTCGCTTTCCGCGCGCAGCTTCCACAGGTCACACCCCCGCCGCATATTCGAGCCGTGCGTACCACTCGGGAGGGGGCCCACAGCCGGAATCGGGTCCGAACGGCCGGACCCGATCATCGCGTCGAACAGAGTGCGGGAGCCGCGGCGAGTACGTGCGGGCGGGAGCCAAGCGCGGGAGTATTTCCGACGCAACAACCCAGTCCCAGGTACGTGTACGGTAGTTTCTCTTCTAGTTTCCTTTATTTTCCTATTCTTCTTTTTTTTTTTTTTTTTTTTTTTCTTTTCTTTTCCTTTCTTTTCTTTTCTATTCTTTTTTCTTTTTCTTTTCCTGCTTCATTATTTATTTATATTTTTTTTTGTTTTATGTGATTTTTATTATTCTTTTTAATTTTTAGTTTTATGTTTATGTTTATTTTTTTCTTTTCTTCCCCTTTCTTATTATTTTTTATTTCCTTTCTTCATTTTTTTATTTTTGTTTTTGTTTTCGTTTCATGTGATTTTCTTTTCTTTTTCTTTTATTTTCTTTTTTCTTTTCTTGCTTCATTTTTTATTTGTATTTATTTTAATGTTTATGCGGTCTGCCTCTAGGTACGTTTGTTTCTTTTTTATTTTTTCTTCTTCTTATTCTTCTCATTTTTTATTTTATTTTATTTTATTTTCTTATCTTTCTTTTCATGCTTCATTTTTTATTTATATTTCTTTTTTTATGTTTTTTTTATTATTTTTTATTTTTATGTTTTTTATTTTTTTGTTTTCTTATTTTTTATTTCTTTTCTTTAATGTTTTGTTGTTGTTCGTGTAGTATATATATGGTGCTCTATGTTTTTTTATGTTCACGTGTTATACATGTAATGTTCTTTTCATGTTCACGTGGGATACGTGTGATGTTCTATGATTTATTTTTGTGATGATCACGTACTATACATGTGATGTTCATGTAAGTATACACTGATGTTTTATGATTTATTCTGTGATGTTTACTTAGTATACTGTGATGTTTATGATGTTCACCTGCGATGTTTTATAATATATTATGTGATGTTCACATAATATACATGTGATATTCGTATAGTATACATGCGATGTTTTATAATGTATTTAACGATATTCTATAATGTATTTAGTGATGTTCTATAGTATATTTTAGGATGTTTAAAAAAATATCCATGTGATGTTCTTTTAATTTTTTCTCTATTACGTGTTTTTATTTTTTCCTTATGCTTTACTATAGATTTTATTATTTTTATTTACGTTATGTATTTATTTATTTTTATGTATATTATAATACTAATTTTATGAATCTAAAACTAAAATATTGTTCTTCTAAACCGAGAAT